TATTATTCAAGTTTTGGTAAATTCAAAATGTAAATAGCAAATGTTATCATTGTTAACATACATCATCCTGTGTAAAAGCATTTAAGCCCTTGATCTGCAGAGACTGAGCAAGTGTCAGAAACGAGTTCAAGTTTCCTTCTGGAATATGAGTCTCCCCTCGGTAAACAAAATCAATCACAGCCTTCAGTGTTTCGAATGTTGCATTTAAGAGGATGACAAAAGGATGCTTTCCAGAGTCCTCTTGAAACAGCATCTACAAAAAACAACACAGACAAATAATGAGAAAGAATAGCTTTATTAATACAATATATGTATTAATTTCTTCTCTAAAACATCACTTCAAAAGATAGAGCAGAAATCTGTAACATCTGTTTCAGTAATGATGACGGTCAGATCCTGTTGTGGATAACATGGATAAATCTTGCTGCCATGTGTTGTGTAGTCAGAATCCACATTTTATGAGTCCTTGATACCAATATATAGGTTTAAAGCAAACTACCAGCCTGTCAGTCTGTGATCAGCACTTCTGCTTAAATCCTTCACATGATGTTCGTGGAGATTTTGAATTTAGATATGGGTGTAAAGAAGTTGAATCAGAGAGAGCTTGAATTGAATTAAATTGCACTTCCAATGTATTATTAAATTTCTCAGCCACCACTGGTCCAATTTTCAAAAAAACTTAAAATTCATTAGCAATGTCTGGGTAATTATCAATAGTAGTGCTAGTTTGTTTGTCAAATAATTTAGTTATATCTTGACAAGACAGATTTTTAGAATAGAACGTCTTCACATGCAATAAAAAATTAAAAACAGATCAGGTTGCTACAAAAAGTGGCAGTAGAATTAGCCAGCTTTTCCGGTAAGGTTGCTAGATCTTTTCTTAGAAAATCTGCCATCTGAGGGATAAAAATCGATCAATTCTGCCAAACAACTTGAGTAGTAAAAAACGGTGGAAGGTGAAAAAGTAAGCTGTGATACTAGGGCTTGTCATATCAAAATAGCAGCACATTTACAAGATGTTTAAAACTAAGTACTCGTGTTTATAAAGCCTACCTATCAGAAACTATTAATATTTGTACAATTTTCAGAAAATGGTTGGAGGCAATTACATGACTGTTCAATTTTAAAAAAGCGGGTTGACATCACATTTGCAATAACTGCACATTTGCAAGGGTTTCAGAACTAAAACATTTGAGCATGAGGCATATCTTCCAGAAGATATCAACATTTGGATAATTTGTCAAAAAAGGTGGGTACTATTGATGTTTTAAGCAAAAAATGAATCTTATTGCCCAAAATCTTTTGAGGAAACCGCAAGATTCTGCCCATTGAGCTGAATCCTGAAACATGCATTTTCTTTCCACAAGTAAACAACCCCATCAGGTGGAATTCCCCTGAAAATGGCATCCCTGTTTAGCGGCACAATTTGATAATTTTTGCATGCACAAGAACACATAAAAATTGAAAATTTACATTAAATTAAACAAAACACATTCAAAGGAAGATTGCAGACAGGACACAATGATATGGATATAAAAATATAAATACCGTGTAGAAACACAGAAAGACATGAAAAGATCACCACACATTTTATTCACATGTTTTTCACAATGAATGTTAAACCAAACAATTTTAAGAGAAAAAAACATAAAGGACACCTTTCTACTTAATCTCTCTGATCTAGAAGATCACAGTGTAGCATGAGAATAAACAATGTTATACCTGCAAAACTGCCTGACGTCTAATATATGGTACAACTTACAGAAGACGGTTTAAACCAGCACTTCGCACCACTCTGGTGGCAACTGCACAGTTTGAATTCTGGAGGCTTTCTTGAAAAGTGCTTTCTTAAAAAAGTGAATTGGTAATTATGTGGTGGATAAACTCAAGGATGCTTATAGTGATCACGAGGGCTGAAGACCCCGAGGTGAGCAAAGCGAAAAAACTTGCCTTTGAAAGTAAATTGACATTACAATGTGGCAGGGACAAAGCGTATGAAGGGCAAAACATGGAAATCGCCTATCCGTAATTTCTATCAGTGTGTGTAGCATAATTTAAGGGAGGGCTTAAGCCCCACCCACCCCTTGTCACGCTTCTGTGATGGTGTTCCGTGAACCCACTTTAACCGCAAAACCTTCTGTATCTTCATCAAAAGTGCTACAAATTTCATTTTAACTTACTTGAAAGTAAGGACTGCAAGCAGATAAAATCAGCCTATGAGCTTTCAGGCGTTGACCCTCAGCAGAGAGAGTACAATCCACCAAAAAATTATTCTCCAACAAACTTTTATATTCTGTAGCAAGTTCACTGGTGTGGTTCTTCCAAGACACAGATAACACTGGTTCTGCCATGTTCAAATAGTTCTGAAACAATCTAAAACCCACACTTTAACAGCCCCGAGTCCAACATATTTTGATCGAAAACAATTAGAGATAATAGTTTAAGAAATATTCTATGAAATGCTATTTCTTGAATATTCCATTTCATTGTTGGAGATTTAGTTATTTTGACTGCTCCCATTCCATAGCAAGGGTGGTCAAATATTGTTCAGAAACCAAAAACCCATGAAAAATTAAACTATGCAAAAATTAAACACCATGCAATGTTCAAGCGCTGGAAGTTCAAAGTCATGTGCTGTAAAGAAATAATTTTCACTTCCAAAACTGTTATTTACAAAGTGCAGTTTCTCCATGATTCAGTTAGTTGTAAAATATTCTGCTACACTCAATGTCAGTTTCTAACAGCTACTATGAAATAACAAATTCAAAACACGCTCAACTGAAACATATTCCAGTAAAATTCAGTAAAGAAAAATTTTGTCTGATGTACTAGTTCTTATTGTGCTCTGGGATGGCATTAGTTTTCATTCTTTTTAGAATATGTACATTATATTTCCTCTGTGTAAGGAGTGTGATCATGAAAAATCTATACTTTCATGATGTTAGAAATTAGCCTAAAGAACCAGCTTGACAGCTAGGAAAACAAATTAAAGTCATGTTGGATGAGATCATTGCAAGAGTTAATGTTGAAGCCATTTACTAGTGAATCAACTGGAAACGAACGCACTAATTGAGCACTACGACCACCTGCAGTTATGAGGTTATCAGTGGCTGTCAAGGTGTTTCCTTCTTATGTCACTCTCTATACATGGTGGAGTCTTTCACCACCCACATAAATAATATAAATACCAAATAAATAATTTTATTGGGCTGCAAGAGATTTGAACGCGATTTACACATTGACATGAAGACATATACCTCAATTTTATGGCTCCGCTTAATAGAACACCACTAACACCAAATTATCAACAAAAAAAACAAAAAACAACCATTTCAACGACCTACATCAGCCGATTCACTTTACGCACACTGACACTTCAACAGACACAGATACCGCGCTGTCTAAAATGACACTTTTCTTGCATCGTAAGATCAATTACAATTTCATCTCATGGCATCCAGTGGACCGCGCACCCGCAATTCACATCCACAGAGCCTCCAAATACAAATAAAAGAAGATAACCGGATAACATTGCTCACATCGATCTGGCTCACGGTGTAAGAGTTCCCTTACATCGTGCTCCGTCACTCGACTCTCCACATGAAAGAATCGTTCGTGAACGAACTTATTCAACAATTTTCAACAAATATTTTTAAACGAAGATATACACATTGATTAACATCATCCATGATATGTACACAGATTAACACATACATATATTACAAGCTGAAGTGCTCCGCGTTGACGGGATTTTCTTCACAATAATTTATTAAACAGCAAGAGGTATCCCATATACACCCACCCTGCCGCGGAGCCTTCTATTATTCATTTGTATCCACGCTCCGTCTTGCCAAACCTCTGCCGTGCTCCCACCTGGAAATACTGTCTTCCTCACTAACTTTCTCAAAAAAAATGAGGTTCCCGCCTCCAATATTCCCTAATTTTATAACTAAAAATAATAAGCACATCTAAACCAAAGAAATGAAATACTTGAACTGGCATATTATTTTTGTGGAATTTTATATATTACACTCATACTTTTAATCAGTTGCCACATTGTAAAACTTATTCTTTTTCATATTTTTTCTTCTCGCCTATTTATGGAGAAAAGTTTAAAATTATATTCGACACCACGACGAGGTAATTGCAATAAAATATAAAAAAGTTCTTTTAATTGAATTTAAATACGCGTTTTAGGGTCCTTGATGAATAGTGGCTGACGGAAAGGTGTCATTAACCGCTTATACAATTATAATATCTCCAAAAACCTGAGAGCATTTTTCGTGGCTACGTCACGGCTTGAAATACCGTACCAACTGTAGGCATGAACTTAACTCGTTAATGCGTGCCATTAGAAATGCTGCGATTGTTTTGAAAGTACGACGTTGTTGTTCCCAGCATAGTACATTGGTGCATGCCTTTCCGAGTCGAACATAAGTATCTCAACGTGCCGTGCTATTGAGCGCTGGATGAGGACTACGGAGCTCGTGTATCAAGAAAACTTGTGCGAGTAATACGCAATTCTGGCATTGATGATCTCAAACGTAGATCTCAGCCGTCATCCTGCGGTGGCGCGCAGCTCCACTATTGTGCATTGGTGCATTATTGGATATGTAATGTAATGCTAGGCGGAAAGAGTCCAGAAAAGCATTTATTTTGTTTAGTTTGTATTATATTACGGTTTATAATTGTAAATGATAGCCTCCAGATCTCCTAACCTTCAAAGGACGCTAGCACAAACGTTTCATCGATATTGATCCAGTATATTCAGAGATTATCGCGCTGTTACGCAACGCCCTTGGGTCTTGATATATTAGTATAGTTTATTCATCCATAATATTTATTCCTTAACCATGTTTCTAAAGTTTATGGTCTGATCCTCTCATTGAATGTGAATCGCTTTGTGAAAGGAAGTACGTATTATACTATTTTGCGAATACCTATTACAGACAAGGATACTTCAGTAATTATATATATATATATATATATATATATAATATATATATATATATATGTTGTGGTGTGTGTGTGTGGTGGTGTCGTGTGGTGTATAGTGCGGTATACCTATTACAGATAACGGATTATTCCAGTAATTATATATACTGTGAGTATACGACGTCATAGCTTCTGGCGGGAAAGTTGTAAGTTGACACCTCAGCTGTGCGCGTGAAGCGATTCCTGGCGCAATTTTACCAAGTTTTTTGGGGCTGTATTATGCTGTTAAGGTGCGTGTGACTTACTCAACTAACCGGGGACAATTTTGATGAAATGTCATTTTCTTTTTCTTTTCCCTTTAGAACATGTTGTTAATAAGCAAAAGAGTATATAGTTTATAGTGCGGTTTTTGCAAACTCCTGCCCACACGGCCCTACTTTTACGGTGATATGCCACTGTGTTTCGCGTCTTTCTCGGTCGTGCTGCTAATGTCGCATGGATGCGCGAGTACCAGTAGCTGCTTAAGGAACATAAGTAAGGGTAATTAATTTGATATAGGAAGCGACGTGTTTTGATACACTTAAAGTATATAACTCAACTTTAATACTGGTGAAAAGGAAACTTTGATTTCAGATGCACATATGAACCTGAAATTATGTTACGTTGGATTAGAGACGCATTGTTGGAAGTACATTTTGTATGTTATTCATTCAGAGGTGGGAGCTGAATTGTGTTAAAAATAGTGGTTTATGTGTTTGTGTGTGAAGTGTAGATTTTGGTAAGTGATTATTCTGTTTTGGTTTTTGATATTGTCCCTGTGTTTACCAATTTTGATTTCTCTGGTTCAAAATGGAGGGTACTAAGAATGCATATCGCGATAGATAAATAATTCAGAGTGGGAGGAAAATATAGGCGACAGCGAGAGGAGGCAAGTTTAATTGAGCAGTTATCGTGATAATTCAGACAATACAGAACTTGGAGGAGGGAACACGAATATGTTGGAGAGAGGAGGCGCTGAATGAAGGTGAAGGGCGGAAGGTAGCGGAGGAAGAAGAAATATGGATATTTTCAAAATGCTTTAGGTAGGGGTGTGGAGTATTTTACGAGAATCTGAGGAGATTTAGGGAATAAAGAAATATTTAGGTACGAGAGATTACACCATGCGGAGAATATGGAGCCTCAAAAACTTTGGGACAGTTCCTGTAGCGATCAAGAATCATCCGTATATAAACGCGACAGTATTCCTGTTTCAATCCATAATCTTATTACGAAAGCATCTAGAGGAACAGAACAAAAGGTACTAGGAATTATCTGGAAACAAAAATAAAAATCCGCAGCAAGGCAATTGCTGAGAAACAGGATAAACGGGATCGTAAATTAATTAATTGAATTACTCAGATATGCCAACATTAGAGAATTACGGATTTGTCCAAGTAATTATCGGAAAGCAGGACAAATGAGATAGGAGTTAATGGAGGCAGAATAAATTGTTAGAACGAAAAAATTAGCCAACAGAACAAAAGAATGGTAAGAGTATCGCGATGAAATCAGTACCAGCAATTGAAGCCACGTACAGGATAAAATCCGGGCGCAGAACCATAATCATCGTCACGTTAAAGTAAGAAACAAAACAACAGTTACGGAAGGTTGCATTGTTTCGGGCCACTCTCTGGGCAATTGGATTATTCAATTTTTGGCGATGAAGCTCCATCAAGGACGACAGTGCTTATGATTGATATGGTGATTCAATCGTGGTCGTGTTCACTCCAAGAACGAATTTTCGCGAAAGGTCGTCCAAAATCAGATTGTTGTTCGAAAACCATTGAATGCTGTGCGTTGGGGAAAACTAGAATAAATTTTGCCCCCAAGTCGTCATCGTGACCTATCGTGAGATTGAGAACAACCTTAGGCATTTAGTGCGGACCAGCATACAATTCATATTTGCATTGAACAATTTTGACTGCCAAAAAAATTGTTCGCGTTGGATCCCACACAATTTTGTCAATTCGCTCAAAAAAGGGTCGTGTCGGCTTGGTCGAAAGAAATGCTCCAAAAATTACGGATGCGGCGGGTGCTTCGGAAACACGTTATGACATCGTGACAAAAGTGATGAATTCGCTGGGATTTACGCGTATGAAGGCCACAAAGTAAGGGACGCAGTCGACTGTAGGTGTTTCAAGATCAAAATCCAACAAAAATTGTTCAACGCACGAAGCACTTTCCAAAACAGACTGGTCGCCGTTTTTTCGAAAAAACTGGCATGTCCGCAACCGTAACCAGCTAGAGAACGCAAGAACAGTCATTCTGAGTGGTACACGAACGATTTGTTTGCCAGCTGTCGTTCCAAGAAATCAGGAAACCAACTGCCGAAGACAGGATCCTCATCAGCCACGATAAATGGGAGCTCTCACACATCCAGGCTCCACAAACAAAACTGGGGCATTTATTTGAGGGCACCACACGTCCCAAAACATTCTGTGAGATAGTTGCAAAAGCACGGCCGAGGATTCGGAGGTATATCTGATTTGCGTCATCTCGATCGCACGTCCGATTAATACAGGGTTCCTGACTTTGGTCCGGATTAACTTTGTCTCTCCTGCTTATTTAATTACCGTAACGGAGTGTAAAGACAAACCAAACAAAGTTGGAGGAGGTGAACACTTTGCAAACGAGAGGTTTTTTGGAACACCTGGAAGAACGGTTGCTGCATTTAGGATATGC